AGGAGCGCCGTGGGAGCGAGGCAGGGGAGCGAGGCAGGCAGGGCGCGCGGCAGGGGAGGGCACGGAGTACGAGAGAGCAGAGAGGAGGCGGAGCAGGAGGAGGAGCGGCGTGAAGAGGAATGGGGGGAGTGGGTAGGGTGGTCGAGGATCCAGGATCGAGGTTTTCAGCGTATTGAGTGTTTTCGCATCCGGGAGGGTCCTCCAGGCCTCTTCAGACCTGTGGACAAGGAGGAGGAAGGAGGACACACACTCTGACGTGGTGTAAACCAACGCCTGCTCCAGCTGTTGGGTCGCGTTACGTTCCAGGGATTCACCTGCACGCTGGTGACACGGGAACACGATCTGCCTGGAAGGGGTACGGAATTGTCTTCGGACCACGCAGGCTGGCGATCCAGGTAAGACTCTGTTTTATCTCAGGTGCGGCAGCGGCTGAACATCCTGATGATAAGGGCATCCTTTAGTGTTGACATAAGCGATTGGGACGTGAAGGTGAGCTGGAAGAGGAGCAGGAAAAGGGTTCATAATGATAGCAGGGAAGAGTGATGCTGATGCTGATGATGCTGGTGATGCTTATGATGGTGATGATGCTGCTGCTGATGATGATGATTAATTTGATGCTGATGTTGATGCTGATGCTGACGCTGACGCTGATGCTGATGCTGATGCTGATGCTGATGATGATAACGATGATGATGATGGTGGTGATGATGCGGAGGAGGACGACGAGGAGGAGGCAGATACGGGAAGAGATATAGCAGGATGATTCGAACGGGAAGAACGGGACAGGAGAACCATGAACAGGTACATGATATGGAGACGCAGGACTGGCAAGAGAGGAAGACCAGGACGAAGAGGAGGAGGAGGAGGAGGAGGAGGAGGAGGAGGAGAGGAGAAGTAAAAGTGGACAAGAGGAGTCGGAGGAGGAGGGAAAGTAGGGACCCGATCAAACGCCACCGCGAACCGACGGTTAATGCATGCCATGCTGAGGGCCAGCAAGACCACCATTGCCAGGGAACGCTGAGCTTCAACGACTACTGTGGCGGTGGCAACGACGACGACAAGAATGACGACGCCGAGGAAGATGACGACGACGATGATGACGACGACGACGACGACCAGCACAACGGCGACGTCGACGACGACGGAGACGACGACGACGACGACGACGGCGGCGGCGGCGGTGGCGGAAACGATCACGAAGAGCGCGACGACGAGCACGACGACGAAAACCACGACGGTGACGACGGTCGCGTCGGCGGCCGCCTCCTCCGCCTCCTCTGACATCCTACTCCTCCGCCTCCTCCTCCTCCTCCTCCTCCTCCTCCTCCTCCTCGTTCGTCGCCCTCGCCCTCCCTCCTCGCCGGCATTGAAAGGACCCCTCCTACGCTTCCTCCTCCTCCTCTTCCTCCGCCTCCTCTTTTCGCCGCTGCTTGCGGGTGCGCGACATGGAGCAAAAACACACGCGGGAGTCTTCCCAGTTCTCTCCCAACTGTGCAGATTCACGCCTCGACGCTGGCCGCAGTTGGAGTGCTCGATGACGGTCGGCCGCTGAGGCCCGTGGAGCTGTTGGATGAGTTCCTTTGGACACGCTCGACCTTCTCGGCATGGCTCGGACGTGTGCATTCTTCCTCCGGCGAGGACCATCGAGTAGCATCCTTGATCATTTGGCGAAACAACCACGCACGAAACCGGAAAAAAAGCACACGGAGTGGACGTCCGAGCGATGGCGAGCCTCCGCCTCCGCCTCCTCCCTCTCGGGTCGGACAGAAAGGGGGGGAAGAGGGAGAGGAGGGGGTACGAACTCTGCTGCGTGCACCTGGTTTCGGCCCCACCGCTGGGCGCCTTCCTCGACACGCTGGCGCCTCCGGCGCCGAGAGAGGCGCCGGGGACATCGGCTGCGTGAGCTGATTCTCCCATCCCCCCTTTGCTATCCCCCGCTTGTCTAAGAGCGTGAATTGCCTACCCTGCTTTCGCCCCCACACAAGACCAAGTCATACCACGCGCCTCCTCGTCCAGCGGCCTGAGTGGTGCGGGCCGTAGCTTGGCATCGTTCCACATCTTTTGGAAGCGAGGGTGGTCAAAAGCGGGGCACGACAGTCAACCCGTATAGTAAGGATGGACAACCTTCCCAAGGGTACCCTTGCATCCTTGCCTCCTCGGTCCACCCTTGGCCACTGTCGTTGGCGGCGCCCCCCCCAAAGAAGCGTCGAAGTGGGCGTCCAACCCCCTTGCATCCTGATCGCGCATCCTTAGGATACGGGCCTTTGTGGGCCCCGTCAACGGCAGGGCCGTTTTTTCACCGTTTCCCAAAACATGTCCCTTGAAAATGGAAACGGCAAAAAAAACGGCGACCGGAAACGGCAACAAAAACGGCTCCAGGATTGGAACCAGAACCGGAACCGGTCAAAAAAGCGGCGACGGATCCGGGAAAACAACGGCGTCGGAACCGGCAACAGAAACGGCAGAACGGCACCAGTGACAAGAAATGGCCCTGTCGTTTCCAGGGCCCACTGAGCCTTAGGATACGGGCAGGCACTGCAGGTTCGTACAGTCAACGCGCATAGTAAGGACAAACGACTTTTTCAAGGGTATCCTTGGGTCCTTGCCTGCCTCAGCCTCTACGGCCCGTCCCTAGCAATCTTCGCAGGCCAGAATACTTCAACTTCGGCCCCCAAGGGTCTTGCGTCCTTACCGCGCGTCCTTACTACACGTTTTCACTGTATGCCTCCTGCTTTCGTGCGACCCGATCCTCCCTCTCCCTCCTCGTCGGCGGCGCACCGCTGCGCGGGCTCAGCGCGCTGCGCGCCCCTGGGGCGCCCGCTCGCGCGCGGCGCTGGGCCCCGGGCGGCGGGCCCCAGGCACGCACGGCTCGGCACGGCCGGCTCCGGCGCGGGGCGTCTCGAGGCTTGCGGCGGCGGTGGCGGGGGCGGTGAGTGGCGCCGACGGTCAGAGGAGGAAGAGGTATACCCAGACCTCCTCGCGTCGTGAACACATCACGGCGGGAAGTTCTTCGCTACTTTCGGCCTCCCGGGGCCCTCGCCGGGCCTCGGGACTGCCAACAAAACGATTCAGTATGAAAAACCGGTCCCCCGGAAGGGTTCCAGGCCCCTGGGGGTCACGTCATGAAAACATCACGATGTCGGAGGTCTGGTAGCCATGCCGCCACCCTTCCCTACCTTTTTTCTGGAGGGGCCTCCTGGGAGGCCCTCGTCGCCACCGCTGGATTCGCCTCGATATTATGGTCGGAGCGCACGCCGGGAGAGGTCTGGGTAGCAGCGGTATCGATACCCGTTTGGTTTCCCCAGACAGGGGGTGTCGGCGGCGTCTGCCAGGGGGGGAAGCGAGAGGGGGCGGGCCTTCCCAGAAGGCTCGGAAGTCTTCCAGCCTTCGGAGACATGTTCTAAGCCCCCCCCCCGAAGACACAAACAACATGTCAGAGGGCGCGCGGGCTTTTGAGATGCCCCGCCGCCTTTCGAGAAGGTCTTCTCCTTCTCACGTCCCCCCCTCGCTCGCCGGCGAGGGTGACATCGGTCGAGCCCAGGACAGGGCTGCGCTCTCAGGGCGTTGCTGCAAGCTCGCAGGGTGACATCGGGGTGACGCTCCCAGGGCGCTGCTGCAGCGCTCCGGAGCGGCCGCGCCGCCCGATGCATCCTGCAGACCCGCTGGATCTCAGCCCCGGCTTGTCCCAGTCCGAGGCTGTCCCGGTCCCGGCCTCGTGCTTGGGGGGGGCGGCTGGCCCAGGAGCACGGGCGTTGGCGCGGGCGTGGGCGCGGCCATGTCCCCGGGGGCGCGGGCGCGGGCGTGGGCGTGCGTGCGAACGTGGGCGTGGGCGCGGGCGCGGGCGCGGGCGCGGGCGTGGGCGTGGGCGTGGGGGGCGGGGGAGCATCGGCCCCCACTCGCCCGTGCCTCGCCGAGCGGGGCCTGCTCGCCCCGCCCGAGGAGCCCCGGGGTGTGCAGCGCTTGGTTGCCACCGAGGGCCGCTCGCCGATCTGTCGGAAGTGCATCGCCGATGCCAGCAGGCGAAGGTGCCCCCCCTGAGCCAGTCTCATACGATCGTGTAAGTCGAGCGCGTCCCTATACAGGAGGAATGTTCAAAAGTAGGCAAACAGTAGTCAGGGGAAGATTGTCTGGCTATTCTTGGTTGTTCTCCGAAGATCCACCTGTAGGAGGACATGCCCGACCTAAGACGATCGTTCCCCCCCGGCCAGGTCTGCCGACTGCGCGCAAGACTGTACGCGCCCGCGGTTCCAGGCCTCCCCAAGGGGGGCCAGCCGGAGGGAATGCAGTCAGAGGATCGCGCCGCATGGCCGGTGCATCGGCGCGGCGGCGCGCTCCAGAGCGCGATTTACCCCATTCGCCGATGCATCGCCGATGCGGCGAGTTCTTCCGATCCCCTCAACTGCGACCCTACTTTGGAGGTCTCGAACTTGGTCCCCTCATCGTAGAATGCGATGCGATGGCAATAGCTTGCGCGCTGGGGCCTGGCACTTTGACCCACCGGGATTCCCGCCCAAAGCCGCGCACCACTGGACCCCCGCCAAAAGCCGCGCATCATTGGTAAGTTTTGCCCAGGGTTACTCTTGAGTGCAAGTTGCCGATTATTGGGGCCCGATCTTGTACGAGGCTGCCTTCGGGCTACCCCTGGGGTCCAGGCATCTTGACTAGAAGACTGCGGCAGGGCAGACGCCAGAGCTCTCGGCCCCTTCGCCCCGCGGCCAGCCCGTCACACGGCATCACGCGGGTCCGCTGGTGGACGGCCCCTGGGCACGAGGGCGACCCTGCGAGGAAACGCCCGCTGATCGGACGCCTGCGAGGAAACGGATCGCGGTGCGGCGCGGGGGGGGGGGAGCCCCGCCCATCAGGCACCATCCCACGATACCGTACAGGTCCGCGCCGCTGCGACGCGGCGGCGGCGCGGGCGCGTGCCTTCCAGGCGGAGGGCGGCCGGCCGCCTGAGCCGACCTGCAAGGGTCTGCGCTGCCAGACGGCAGGGGCCGTTCCCAGAGGTGGAGCGGCCCGCGTTCCATAGCCATGTCGGCCCGAGTGCGTGTGGCCCCGAGGCAGTGCACGCGCTTCGCTTCAGGCCGGTTCCCCAGCGTGCGCGATGTAAGCCATGCCTCGCGGCCAGCGGAGGTCTCGGCTAGCTCCACTGCTGGTGACGAGCGCTCTCGGCCCGTTGCTGCTCGGCCCTCGCCGCGACGGTGGGGTGGCGGTTGCCCTGCCGGGCAAGGTGCCCGCGCGGCTGCGGCATCGGCAGGCAGGTAGCCGTGGCGAGAGTCAGTCTGTCGCGGATACTTCTCCGGGCCGCCAGGGTTTTGCGGGGGGGACCCTACGGCAGCGCGTCGTGCCGCGCTTGAACGCCTCCGAGATCTCCCGGTCTGGGCTGGAAGAGCTGGTGAAGTGCGGCCCCGTGCTGCTGACCAACGCAATCGAGGGCCTGGACACGAAGGCGTGGTGCAAGGACCTCATGAGGGCGATGCACCGCGAGCCGCTGGCATACCAGCAGCAGCGGGCCGGCCCCTGGGACCTGCTCATGCACGAGACCACGCTCCGAGGCTTCATGCGTGAGGTGCTCCCTCGAAGCAGCCATGAGGACCCCAGGTTCCTCTTTGACGAAGATTTCCTCGCTCGGAAGCCAGCGCAGGCGGCGTGCCTGTCCGACCGACTCTCCCTCCCCAGGCGCTTGTTTGGGGAGAACTGGTTCGACCACTTCCCGGACCACCTCCGGCCCGCCCCGTGCTGCATTGTCGGGGCCGGCATCGGAGCCCGGTCCACGCTTCACAGAGATCCTTTCGAATGGACGGGTACTAGTGTTTGCCTCTGGGGAAGCAAGATCTGGACATTCCTGCCTCCGAGCTCGAACGTCTCCGCTGTGGACGCCTCTTTCGAGTCCTACCGCTTCCCCTACCAGTCCTACGGCAGCGACGGCGCCTCGCTGGCGGCGGGATGGCAGGCGGACGTGGACCTCTACGCGGTGCGCGACATGAGCCGCTGCCCGGGGCCCCGGGAGCTGGCAGAGGCGGCGCAAGGAGTGGGGCGCACGAAGGCTGCGGAGGCCACCGCTGCCGCGCTTCGGCGCTGGTGGGCGGCGCGCTCGTCGCTGGGCACGTCGGAGAAGCCACGCACTCCAGTGCCTCCTCTGCGCCCACGGGACTCGGCGATCGCCAGATTGCCAGACGTGGTGGTTCCCACTTGCGTTGTCCAGCGAAGAGGGGATCTGTTGCTCATCCCCGCGCACTGGTGGCACCAGACGTACGCTCCGGAGCCATCTATCGCTGTTGCTGGGCAGTTTCTCAACGAGGGCAACTGCCAAGCGGTGGCAAGGCATGTCTGCCAATGGCGCGGCGTCGCAGATTTAGCTGAGAAGTGCCTGGCGGAGCACGAGCCGCGTCAGTGGGTGGACAGTTTCCTGCGTTCGGTGCTCCCACACGACGTGCTCAGCGGCTCAGCGGCCACGGGCGAGCTGGCGAACTCGGATGAACAGTGGGAAGGCCTCGGCCTTGAGTTCAGCATGGACGACCTCTAATGTGCCCGCCCTCTTGATCACAGCCCGCGCGAAGGTGAACACCATTGGCTTGAAGTGCCTCTTCATCTCTGGCGGCTTCGTGCGTGGCGTATTTACCAATGCCCCCAGACGGAGTGGATACGACCAACTTGGCAGCTTTGCACACAGGAGTGCCTCCAGAAGCATTAGGGCGGCTCGTACGGTTTCGCGGCTCGTTGGCGCTCTTCGGCAGCCGAAGCTAACACCTGGTGTGATGGGTCCATGTTCCACCACCACTGCCACATGCATGAGAGGGAGGAGGAGAAGGAGGAGGAGGACCTCCTCATCCTCCCTTCTCCCCCGTCCTACATACACGCCTTTACTTGCAAGTAGGTATTTTTGGATTCAAGCGCCTTCCTGCTTCAAGGGTCGGCTTGCTGGTGCTGTGTCTTGTGATTCTCGCTGGGAGGGCCTGGACCCCATCCACGACATCCGCCTTCCTGCTTCCTGTTTTTGCCTACTTCTTCCGACCGACGTGTCTGGCAGCGGCGGTGGACAATTGGCCCATCCTGGTTGGGGGGACGCGCCGACGCTTTGTCCCGACGAATTGTGTTTTGAACTCACGACGTCGATTTGTCGCCCGCCGCTCGCTCGCACGACGCACGTTTGCTCGGTGCGCGCGGGGGCCGGTCAATCCTTAGTGAATGCTCTGTTGCCGATGCGCCGTCCGGGCGCCTGGCTTCTCTGTCTGTCTGTCTGGTGGGGGGGAACGGAGCGACCTGCGCGGTGCTGGGAACCCGCGCCCGCGGCGCCACGGCGGGGGCCCGGGCCGCACGGTCTGCCGCGCTCCGCCCGGGCGCGACGGCAGCGCGGGCACGGGCCCGCCGGGAGCCGAAGGCTCCCGCGCGGCCTCTGGCGGGCTCCTCGGCCGCGCGCCGAGAGGGCCTCGGAGGCTCTGCAGGAACGAATCAGGAGGGGAAAAAACACACAGACACAATTAATCGTCGACTCCCAGGAAAATATGCAAAAATATGGGAAGTGGGGGGGGAAGACAGAAACCCAGAAAATATGGGAAAATATGGGGGATATTTTTATTTGTGTGTATTTATTTGTGTGTTCCAGTTCCCCTTCAGAAGAAGGGCACGGGAAGAGCGGGCACAATGCCCAACAGCGGATCCTGTTCCTTTTGAGCAGGACTCGCTGTCCACGCCGCCGCGGCCCGTGTCCATTCAAAGGCAGAAGGCCGCCTGCCCAACAGCCGCCGCTGTTGGTTTGGGACAACATTTGTTGTTGGGCATTGGACCCATGCTTTCCGTACCCATTTCGGGCGTCCAAAGAGGAGGGGCGCATGCTTCTCAGAGGCACCCCTGCTTCTTAGAAGGCGCTGGCCGTAGCTATAGATGCAAGGCCGGCGCCCTCTGAGAAGCAGGGGTGTTTCTAAGGAGCCTTCCCCCCTCCCCCGAGTCCCCTTCTGCGCGCCGCCGGATTGAACGGATTGTGGGGAAACCAAAAGGTACCGACACCGCCACTCCCTGGACCTCTCCTGGGGCGCGTTCTGACCAGGATTTCGAGGCGAATCCAGCGGTGGCGACGACGGAGGCCCAGGAGGCCCAAAAGGGGAAAACGAGGGGAGGGTAGAGGTATGGGTACCTTTTCCTCCTCTCAGATTGCGCGGGGACGGGCACCAGAACCGGCGCCGTCTCACGGCAGGGGCCTGCCGTACGAAACAAGCCGTTCAGGAGCGTTCTTGGGGCGGAGGCGGTCACGAGCGCGTTGTGCCGGCCGCGGCGTCTGTCGCATCCTCCCAGCTCGCCCGGTCCCATAGACTTATACATATAACGGCGCACCGGGTCCGGGGGCCCGGGGCCGGGACCCCGACCGCAAATGTGCACCCCGGGGGGCCCGGAGGCTCGTCGGGGCTTGCCGGAGGCCTCCCCAGTCAGACAAGACGGCCCAAGAAGCGCCCAAGACGGCCCAAGAAACTTCCAAGAGGCCTCCAAGAGGGCTCCGAGATGCTGAAGATGGCCTCCAGACGTCCAAGGACGCCCCCAAGAGGCCCCAAGAAGCCTCCAACATGCGTCCCAAGAGGGCCCCTAGACGCAAAAATTGGCCCATTCCCTTCGTAAAACGTACATTTTCAACAAAGTTGTCTTTTGGGCTTTCCGACGTTACAGGACGGCCCAAGAGGCGCCCAAGACCGCCCCAAGACGGCCCAAGAAGCTTCCCAGAGGGCCCCAGGACAGCCCAAGAGGGCCCCAAGACGGCCCAAGAGGCGCCCAAGATGGCCCAAGAGGGCCCCAAGACGGGCCCAAGAGGGGGCCCAGAGGGGGACCACGAACCGCAAGCTCGAGCCTTCCGCCCCAAGAGGCCGCCAGGAGGCCCCCAGGAGGCCCCTCAAGAGGCCCCAGGAGACCCCAGACGTCCAAGGACGCCCCCAAGAGGCTCCAAGAAGCCTCCAACATGCGTCCCAAGAGGGCCCCTAGACGCAAGAATTGGCCCATTCCCTTCGTAAAACGTACATTTTTAACAAAGTCGCCTTTTGGGCTTTCCGACGTTACAGGACGGCCCAAGAGGCGCCCAAGACCGCCCAAGAAGTTTCCCAGAGGGCCCCAGGACAGCCCAAGAGGGCCCCAAGACGGCCCAAGAGGCGCCCAAGATGGCCCAAGAGGGCCCCAAGACGGGCCCAAGAGGGGGCCCAGAGGGGGACCACGAACCGCAAGCTCGAGCCTTCCGCCCCAAGAGGCCGCCAGGAGGCCCCCAGGAGGCCCCTCAAGAGGCCCCAGGAGACCCCAGACGTCCAAGGACGCCCCCAAGAGGCCCCAAGAAGCCTCCAACATGCGTCCCAAGAGGGCCCCTAGACGCAAAAATTGGCCCATTCCCTTCGTAAAACGTACATTTTCAACAAAGTTGTCTTTTGGGCTTTCCGACGTTACAGGACGGCCCAAGAGGCGCCCAAGACCGCCCCAAGACGGCCCAAGAAGCTTCCAAGAGGGCCCCAGGACAGCCCAAGAGGGCCCCAAGACGGCCCAAGAGGCGCCCAAGATGGCCCAAGAGGGCCCCAAGACGGGCCCAAGAGGGGGCCCAGAGGGGGACCACGAACCGCAAGCTCGAGCCTTCCGCCCCAAGAGGCCGCCAGGAGGCCCCCAGGAGGCCCCTCAAGAGGCCCCAGGAGACCCCCAAGAGGCCCAAAGGAGGCCCAAGGACAGCCCAAGAGGGCCCCAAGACGGCCCAAGAGGCGCCCAAGATGGCCCAAGAGGGCCCCAAGACGGGCCCAAGAGGGGGCCCAGAGGGGGACCACGAACCGCAAGCTCGAGCCTTCCGCCCCAAGAGGCCGCCAGGAGGCCCCCAGGAGGCCCCTCAAGAGGCCCCAGGAGACCCCAGACGTCCAAGGACGCCCCCACGACGCTTCGCGTCACCAATTTCTTCTCACAACGGTTCCTGGGTCTGTGACTCGACAGAACCTAAGCGCGCGCGAAGCGCGCGCGTGGTTCTAGTCCGATCTATCCATGCTCGGGACGACCGACATGGGCACGGAAAGAATGGGTACAGAGACCGACAGCACTTCTTGTTCATTTCGAACAGGATTCGCTGTCGGCGTCGCCGCGGATCGTGTCCATTTGAGACAGAAGGCCGCCTGCCAAACAGCGGCCGCTGTTGATTCGGGGCAACATTTGCTGTTGGGCATGTTGCCCATTGTTTCCGTGCCCATTTCGGGCGTCCAAACATGCCGTGAACGATTTGTCTGCATGTTGATTCCGTCCAAGGGATCTGCCTTTTGCAGATTTTGGGGTTTCTGATCGGATCGGGCTGGTGTATCCGGTCATCATGCCGAGACGTTCGCCTGGGACCTTCACTCGTTCCAGGATTTGCAGTAGCTGATTCATCTGATTGGGTACTGTTTTGGGGGGCGAAAGCATGGGGATGACTCCCTCGTCTGTTCGTCGTCTTCGTCGTCTTCCTTCCTTCTATCCGACTCTCCTTTCTCCTCCTGCTCTCTCTATCATCCCACCCTTCTTCCGCCTCTCTTCTCCTTTCTCCACTCCCCCTCTCCCGTCCCCATCTGCGGGGAAGCGGGGGAGTGAGGCAAGGAGGAGCATCGATAATCAACTCACCAACCATGGATTTTATTTTTCCATCATTCCTGCTACTCACTCGGGGGAGGGGCGATCACTGGGAGGTTGAACACTACGCAAACGCGAGCCTCTCTCAAGGAAAGGCGTCTGTCCCGTGGCGATGAGACGGGAAGGCGCACTGGGGCGTGGCGATGAGACGGGAAGTCTCACTGGGGGATTCGGCACGATTCCATCATTATCGTCATCATCATGGTCATTATCATTTTCATTCGAATGACCATCATCATCATGATTCACGACAGGAGTATGCGTGGTCCGTCGAGCCGGAAGACTCCAGAAAGGTGGCCGATGAGGTTTCGTCGGTTCCAGACGAAAGTTTTGTTCGTCGTTGTGGCTCCTTTGCTGCAGTGTCACGTCATCAGCAAATCGGGCTTCATCTCGAACAGGGACATGTAGTCAATAGAGTCGAAGACTGGGGTTCGCCTTTCAGTTGCCCGATCGCGACGTACATGCGCGAATGCTTTTTTTCCGAATGCGATCGCCCTGAAGAGCTACAAGTCACGTCATTCGTGAATTTGAGCATGCAGCGAGCCATTACGGACGGTGTCAAGCTCCATGTTTGGTCACAGGGCGAGAACGAGGGTGTCGACAGCCTGTGCTCGGAGGAATGCAATGAATTATGCGCGACGGGGGGTGGACAGAGCGCCGCGTTCCCAGAACTTCTTATGATTGTCACGCGCGAGCCCCAAGAACGAAGAGGGCAAGGCTCAGTTGGGCCCACGTGGTGCTTGAGGGAAATCGCTCGACAATTTCCACGTGCCCACCGCCGATTGCAACCAAACAAGCATGGCAAATTATGGTCATCATTACCGCTACGATTGCCCGCGCCGTCATCATCGCCATGCCTGCTATAGCCCCGACCGTCGCGGCAATTGTGGAAAGACAGCGGTCGTAGTCGCAATATTTCAAGTTGTTGAATCGTGCGCGCATTGTGCGTCGCAGCTTCCTTGAAGAGAGCGAGAGAGAGAGAGAGAGAGAGAGAGAGAGAGAGAGAAACAAAAAAAAAAAAGAGAAAGAGAACGACGAGAGAAGTGAGAGAGAGAGAGAGGAGAGAGGGAGAGAGAGCAAAACAAGTGAGGGAAATAAAGATAGAGAGAGAGAGAGAGACAGGGGCAGGGCGGGAGAGAGAGGAAGCGATATACAAACGCATATACATGACTGGAGAAAGAGAGAGAGAGAGGGAGACACTGAGAGAGAGGGCGATTTTGATATACATCCGAGTGAGGGGGCCGAACGGGCATTCATTGTCCCTGGGTGCGTCGCTGAAGAGGGGATTCGTGGTGAGAATTGTGCTTGTTGCGTTGATGTTGTTGTTGCTGTTAGTAGTGTTGTTGTTGTTGCTGTGGTTTGTTGTCGTCGTCCCACCCGCGACCCACCCGCGACCCACCCCGCGACCCACCCCGCGACCTACGCTGCGACCCAACCCGTGACCCACCCGCGACCTGACCCGCGACCAACCCGCGACTCATCCCGCGGCCCACCCGCGGCCCACCCGCGACCCACCCGCGACCCACTCGCGACCCACCCTCGAACCACCCCGCGACCCACCCGCGACCCATCCCGCGGCCCACCCCGCGACCCACCCGCGATCCACCCAGCGACCCACCCGCGACCCACCCTCAAGGGAGGAGAAACCACCCTGACCCGACAATTGACGTTTACTAAACGGCCCTGGCGTTTACTAAGCAGCCCCGCCCTGTCCGATTCATTACATGTTTGCGTTTGCTACACGGCTTCGCTTGGCGGGGTGATTATTATGGGGTGAACTTTTTGCCCTCTACACCCGCGACCCAACAACGATCCAACCGCGACCAACCCTCGCCCTACCATCATTGGTTAAGCGAAAAAATCGGCGCCCGCGGCGGGCTCATTGTACAATTTGT